TGTTTTAAGTGGTAGTTATGTATCACTGAGGTGATATATTGATAAACTTAAGGTATATGATGGAATAAAAACTGATTTTTTGAAAGTGGGCTTGATAATCTAGCCACCAATTATAATATCTAGTCTGTAAAACCAAATTCAAAAAGAAAAATCTATATATAAGAGCCTTTTGGAACACAACCCTATCACAAGCTGATCAATTAAATCTTCCCAAGTTGACATCAAATCATTACATATCATATAGAAATACTTTAATTAGTGATTACTCTCAGAGAATAATGTAATCCAACCTCATTTTTTTCAGAATACTGATAAAAATGTCAACTAGAATTATGTTTGATGCCAATTTAAAGATCCAGCAGGGACACCTGGGTGGCTCAGATGGTTAAGCGTCTGCCTTCGGCTCAGGTCATGATCCCAGGGTCCTGGGTTCGAGCCCCGCATCGGGCTCCCTGCTAGGTGGGGAGCCTGCCTCTGCCTCTCTCTCTCCCTCTCTCTCTCTGACTCTCATGAATAAATAAATAAAACTTAAAAAAAAAAAAATAAAGATCCAACAAAAAGTTAATGTTAAGGGAAAATCTCTAAGTACATGTGATGATCAATGACTTCTGATAGAAGTTTTAAAAAATTAGAATAAAGAAATGATAGCACCCTTTTAGAGAAAATTATATGATATAATGTGAAGGTAAATGTGTTACTAACCTGCCTTAAATTTGTCAGAAGTATATTTTTATATAGCAAGACACATTACACAGAATCTGATATGATAATAACAAGTCCATCCAGGTCTACATTTACTCAGCTAAAAGATGATTTTTAGGGTACTAAAACCACACAAAATCCTGAGACAGCTCATACAATACAAAACATAGAAGCAAGAAAGATTCGATTATTCAACTAAATTAGAAACAAAAATTAAAAAACCCCAAATATATGTATCACTGAATCAGACTATTTCTTTATAATCAACCTGGGACTGTAACAGACCCACATAATGACACCATTGTGAACATTAAAATTATAAGATCCTCACTTTTTTCATTAGTTGTCCATGAAGCATTTAACCATTTAATATTATAGAGACTCCATCCTGAAAAGCTTCCTAAATTTTCCTTGGAAAAATGGCCAACATTTTCTCCCATCAAAGAAGAGTTAATTTTATAACTCAAGATTTATAGAACAATGACCAAATTCTGAGGGAAGACCAAAGTGGAGATTCAATTTTATGAAAGTAAAAAGTTATTTTAGGCTTTATTTCCAATTTAGAAAACACATAAAATCATAAAATGAACAGAAAAACAATTCAATTGCTTGCCTCATCCATTTACTTTACTATGAACCGCAGCTCACCTAAGAAAACTGCAGTAGTATTGAGTGAGTTAACAAGAGAAATAAGAGTGAAGTTGGCAACCACAGGAGAGCATTCACATCTATCCTGTCACCTTCACTGTAATAGGATTGATTACATGAAGGCAGAGCCATGGCACTGTAAGACACATCTATAGGCACAATAATCTTCAGCGTATATATACATATCAACTTATTGTCCAGCTGTTTGTGGTCATGTGTGTTATAATCAATCTCTTATGAGTGATGTCAACATCATCACAGAAAAAGTTTAGGATCTGAAGAGCTGCTACTGACAGAATCACCTTTTGGTCAGACTAACATTTAAAACAATGAAATATTAAACCAAACAGTATTTTCAAGTCTGCCTAATTAAAATATTACCTAGCCATTCAAACTAACTGATTGGTCTTATTTTGGCAATAAAACGTTGAAGTAAAGGATTAAATATTATTAAAGATTACAGGCATATATCATTTTATTGCACTTCACAGATATTACATTTTTTTACAAACTGAAGGTCTGTGGCAACCCTCTGTCCAGCAAGTCTACCAGCACCATTTTTCCAACAGCATTTGCTCACTTCATGTCTCTGTCTCACATTTTGGTAATTCTCACAATATTTCAAATTTATTCATTATTCCTATGTTTGTTATGGTGATCTGTGATCAGTGATTATGACTTTCTGAAAGTTCAGATAATGGTCAGCATTTTTTTTAGCAATAAAGTATTTTTTAATCAAGGTATGTACATTGTTTTTTAGACATAATGCAATTGCACATTTAATTGTCTACAGTATAGTGTAAACATAACTAGACAGTAAGCTTCTTTGGGGCAAGAGCTACAAGATCCCTATTATTTCCGTGAATGTTTAGAAAGAACTATTTTATTATATCCTGTACCCACCACTAGCCATAGACCTGGTACAAATAAATACTACATAAAATACATTTATAGAACGAAGAATTCCTCGTAATGCATAGAATGCAGTCTTGCTTCAGTCTCAATCCCATTTTCTACCTTGTAGGCAGAAAAAAAAAATTTTGATTTTCATGAAGGCACCAAACAAACTTCATTGCTCTCATGCCAAAAACCCTTTCACGGCTTTGCAATGCCATTTAGATAAAATAAAAGTTCCTTAGGAAAAATCCTCTTTATCTGTCCCCAGCTTACCACTTCTACCTCTGGCCCTCTATCCCCCCTCTCCCACGCTGTCCCAAAGACAGGGAACAGGTGTTCTGCTGCCTCCAAGCCTGGACACCCAGAGCTCCCTCTACTTGGACTGTCCTTGATCCAACATTGCTCTGCGGATTTGTCTAAAATGCCACCTCCTTCAAGAAGTGTTCTGCCCATCTCCCATCTTTTTTAGCCAGCTTGCCCTCATAGTACTTCTGGGAAAGAATGAAAATTTTGTTTCTCTGAGAATAGTGGTCACCAAATATGATAGAAAACTAATATAAGGGGCACCTGGGTGGCCTAGTTGGTTGAGCATCGGACCCTTGATTTCAGCTCAAGTCATGATCTCACAGTCATGAGATCAACCCCTGCGTTGGGCTCTGCACTGGGTGTGAAGCCTGCTTGAGTTTCTCCCTCTTGCTCTGCCCTCTCCCATGCTTGTGCTTTCTCTCTCTCTTCAAAAACAAAAACAAAAACTAATATAAGTTGGAGGGAGTAATTTCTGGTGTTAGGATGACTGCAGAACATGTGATTTGGGATTAAATTTAAGAGGGTGTACTGTACAAATATTAGAAATATCTAATTTCTTGAATTTAGGAATTTATGAAGGTCACAGATTATATTCTCTGTAAAAACCAAGGATCTGGAATATTATATTATATATATTATATAATGTCCATATTTTCTCACATGCTAGCAGATTCTATGTCATATTAAATAACAGTGACATAAATAAAACACATCTACTAAAACAATGGCCTGCATTACCATATGTGTTCATAAATTTCTATTTCCTCAGAAGCATATCTAACACAGATGTTTGTTTTTTACTGTAGTATTTATGTCATGTTTCTTAACTTTGATACCTTTTTCCAAATGGAATGCTAATATTATTTCATTTTGTTGGTATAAAATTAGTTCTGTGAGAACTGAAGCCTTATAGGTAATTGGGTCACCATAAAATTACCATTCTCAGTCTCAACCTCATTATGACTTAGGAGACACTGCAGGAGTCAAAAGCAAATGTACGGAAACAGAAGGATAAAAGAAAATCACATAAGTTCTGATTGGGAGAATATAAAGGAAGTTGTGATAAAAATATTAGGAAGTCAGAAATTTGAAGAAGCAGTAGAGAGTCTCTTGCTGGCTTCAGAAGCAAACAAACATGTTGTGAACTGCCTATGGAGGAGGTCAGGTGGCAAGAACCCGACAACTTCCAGGAGCTGAAAGCCTCCCCAGGCAACATCAAGCAAGAAAATGGGAATTTTGATCTTAATCTATTAAGGAACTAAATTTTGCTAACAACCAGTGAGTGTATAAGAGGACATCAAGCCTCGGCTAAGATCATAGCCCCAAATGAAATCTTAAGCAAAGGCCCCAACTAAGTTCGCCTAGACTCCTGACCCACAGAAATTATGAGACAATAAATTTGCATTGTTTTAAGCCACTGACTTTGTGGTAATTTATTAAACAGCAATGGAAAACCAATACATTATGCTTTATAACCAAGAAAATATTGCTGTTACATATGTCTGCTTACAAATCTCATCTACATCAAACTTTTTTTTTTTAAATATACTTTCTTTTCTATATAAGCTAGCAATGAGCTTCCATTTTCATGAAATCTGGATACTTTGAATTTGTTATCAAAGCATTTTATCTGCAAGCTTTCATTTAATTAAAAATATATCTGAAAGAGAAAACTGAATTTAAAAGTGTATTTCCCTAACTTTTTGGAATCATATTTTATTTTATTTTTTGCGGGGTATGGAGTGGAGGAAGGAGCAGAGGGAGAGGGAGAGAGAGGATCTTAAGCAGACCCCATGCCCAGCGCAGAGCCTGACACGGGGCTGAATCTCACAACCTGAGCCCAAATCAAGAGTTGGATGTTTAACCAACTGAGCCACTCAGGCGCCCCTGGAATCATATTTTAAAAACATACTATTTTAGAAAATATTTATTATATCCTATGCTTAGAAAAAAAGATATACATTTAACATACTTATTTATCTTTTCAGTATTTACATTAATCACTAAAATATACCATATTAAAGAATACATCATTATCGTGAGAGCATACTGACTCATTGTGTGAATACTTTCATATGATATGTAATATGTGAAGAAAAAAGAGATAGACAATTCACAGTCAAAATGTCATTTAAGATTATATAATAAATTCTCCAATGTAACAATCTGTTTTCATATCTAAATCTGTCATGTAGTGAAGCTGGGGGAAAGAGTTTGGTGATATTACCCATCATACAGTCACAGGGCAAAATAAGCTACCTTTTAGTATTTTCAGAATGTAACAATTCAAATTTTGTTCTGTGCTTCTGTCAAACAGGAAATTTGTAACTAAGATTTTTAACACTCAGAATAGAGATTTGTATTGTCAGTTGCTTTATTAACCTTTTTTGGTACAATTCCAAAAAATTTGGTCTTTTAAAAAAAAAATTTACTTTAAGTTAGCCTACCTTCCACACTCAATGTCCCCATTTTAGACTCCAGGAAATCAAATAATGTGCTTGGTGCTGAAGGTCTTGCATTTCCCAGTTCCTCTTCTTCTTCAGATCTTATTCTCCCCCTTCCTTTTCCTTTACCTTAAGAAGTAAAGCAAGATATATTTATTGTACATGCAAAAACAAAAGGAGAAAACACTAAAATATAATCATTGGTCACCTTAAGTTTGATTTTGTATTTCTTTTCATATTTTTCTGTATATTTTCTACATCTTTTAAACAAAAAAGTTTTTTTTTTTTTTTTTTAAAGATTTTATTTATTTATTTGACAGAGAGAGACAGCGAGAGAGGGAACGCAAGCAGGGGGAGTGGGAGAGGGAGAAGCAGGCTTCCCGTGGAGCAGGGAGCCCGATGCGGGGCTCGATCCCAGGACCCTGGGATCATGACCTGAGCCGAAGGCAGTCGCTTAACTGACTGAGCCACCCAGGCGCCCCTAAACAAAAAAGTTTTTAAATGATTATATTAACTAGAACCTTTAGTCCTCTAAATGATCTATTTGGAAATTTGAATTTGTTCATGTAAATTATCTTTTAAGAGAAAAAAATCATTTTTATAAAATTTTTCTTTCACCACTTATCCTTTAAAAGAATATAGGATTAAGGCTTGAATGACTAAAGAATAACACTAAGTAAAAGTCCTGTGCTTGTTAGTTTTAAAAAGTTTGCAGACTAGTAATTTATGTAAGGGGCACAGTTCTAGAAATAATGAATAGAACTACTCACTTGATATCATATTTTCTCTACTACTTATAACAACCCTGTTAAATAAGATATTATTAGACCTACTTTACATAAAGATGAAGATAAACAGACTTGGAGTAACCTGAACAAGTCTCGGTGGTTCCAAAATTGGTGCTCCTTCCACTTACCACAAAGAGAAATGAATTTATAACCCCCACTCCCCCACAATAAAACCTCAGCCTGGAAAGCAAACAACACTATCTGGCACATTGCTTAATGAATTCTACCTCTCAGAGGTGGTCCTGTAACAGGTTTGTGTTTATTGCTGTTAAGAAGTACATTCAGTGCTGCTTCTAAGTTGTTGCCATGATCCATAAGAGCTTGCCTCGATGCTTCTTTACTGAAGCCCATTTCTGTTATGTGTTTCAGAGCCTTCTCATCAACCTGTAAGAAATTAAGAGGAAAGCTGTACTGATGGCCATAAATGAGCAAGGTATAAGTTTTCAACTATACTCTGTTTTTTAACTAAAAATTACAGCTCCTGTTTATGGAAAAAATGTCACACTAATACAATATTCACTTGCTGCTTTTTCATACCAACAGTCAAGAAAAAATCTGTATGATATGTGGGGCTGTACCTCTAGTACTCTCTGACTTCACAACTATCATTACAAATGCAAGAAAGGAAGGAAGGAAGGAAGGAAGGAAGGACGGAAGGAAGGACGGAAGAAAGAGAAAGGAAATTGTGTCAGAATAAAGCTTCTGAAAATTATACAGTGAAAACTATATAATGAAAATTTTTCTTGGTTGATACTTCTATATCCTCAAAATCAATGTATTAATACAGTACTTCTCCAAAATTGCAAAGTATAAAATGAAGTTAACAAAATGGTACTATCTCAGTAGCTTTATTTTTTGTTAACTCTGTTTCAGTATTCTTTCTATATTCATTAGCAACACTATCTATGGTGCTTTGACAGCCGGTACCTCAAACAGGAAAATCTACTTCATAAATGCCAGAACCCAAAATCTCCTTGAAAAATCTAGAGCTGAGTAGAATTCAAGAACTTTTTAAGTAATACAAACATATCCCATAAAGAAACTTCCTGAACCACTGCCAGCTGAGGAATATATAACTAACGTATACATCTAAGAGTTAAGATTGATAGGCTTTAAGATAACATACATATCACATACCTGTTGCAGACAGCCACTCTGATACCTTTGTAGACAATGATAAAAGCACAGTACTTTTCTCCAAACCATGACTGCATCCTTCAAACACAAAATCCTTTCTAAACACAGTAGCTATTATCAATAGATCAGAGTTGACAAGTGAGAGAAAATCTAGATCCTTACTATGCATATGCTAAAGTAAACATAAAAAGGACTGGACATCAAAACTAAAATGCATCTTTCCTATTCAAAAACTTATCTGAATGTAAAAAAAAATTATCAAACTTTCTAAAACTTTTCTCTCCCCCAATTATCTCTCAAATAAATACCTAATTAAGAATATTGCTCCATACACAGAACTTGATCAAAAATATTTTTAATAATCAATTAATACCTGATCTTGGTATAATTTAGTCTACCTTCCTTGAGGATCTGATTTGCAGTTAACCATACTCCCAGTCAAGGAATTGGCAGGGCCCTGCTCTCTCTGAGAGCTGGAGGGGAGACCTCTGCTTGCCTCTCCTAACTTCTGTTGTTTGCTGGCAACCTTGGCATTTCTTGGCTTGTAGATGTACCATTCTAGTTACATGGCCATCTTCTTGCTGTGTATCTTGTCACCTGCCCTGTTTATATCAGGCTCTGTCTACATTTCCCCTCTTTATAAGAAGAATAGTCATATTGAACTAGGGCCCACCTTCTTTTTTTACTTGATACCTCTGTAAAGACCCTCCTTCCAAATATAGTCACATTTTAAGGTACTGGTAGTTAGGACTTCAACACATCTGGGGAGGTACAATTCAACCTATAATACCACCTATTATCAAAAATTATTTTAAGAACCTATTGCCTGACATTCCAATCAAATCTTCCATAAATTGTTGAAAATAAGGAATTGAAAACTGTCCAACCTACAAAAGAATTTGGTACTTAGTCATTAGAATAACTGATGTACATTCAAATTTATACTGGTATTACAAATTGTCCTTTTGATGATCTTCAGTTTTGAATAATAGCTTTGCTGGATATATAGTTCTTGGTTAACTTTTTTTTTTTTTTCCTTTCAGTACTTTCAAGATATCACCCCACTGATTTCTTGCTTTCATAGTTTCTGATCAGATTTTATTCATATATCTTTCAGGATCCCTTGAATTTGATGAGCTGCTCCTCTCTAGAAGCTTTCAAGATTTCTCCACCTTTAGCTTCCAACAACTTGATTATAATGTGTCTTGGTGTGTCTCTCTCCTTAGGTTTATCCTATTGGAGTTCGCTGAACTTCTTGCATTTGTAGATGCAAAATTTCATCTAATTAGGGAATTTGTGGTCACTGTTTCTTCAGTTTTTCTGTTCCTCTGTCTCTTCTCCTATTGGGATTCCATACATAATGTGTATGTTGGTACATGTGATGATACCTCCATAAGTCCCTTACCCTCTATTTTTCTTCACTCTTCTCTCTGCATCTTAGACCTGATCATTTCAGTGCCCTATATTAAAGTTCACCGATTCTTTCCCCTGCCTGTTCCAGTTTGATATTGAAACTGCTAATTAAATTTTTTTATTTCAGCTACTGTACTTTTCTGCTTCAGAAATTCTATTTGGTTTCTTTTTAATAAATTCTATCTCTTTTTTTTTCTCATTATGTTCAGTCACCAATATATAGTGCATCATTAGTTTTTGATGTAGCGTTCAATGATTCATTAGTTGCGTATAACAACCAGTGCTCATATTCCCTACTTGTTCATATACTGTTTTCTTGATTTCTTTTAGTTCTTTGTCAATGGTTCCCTTCAGACCTTTGAGCATATTTAAGATAGTTTATTTAAAGTCTTTGTTTAGTAAGTCTAATGTCTGGGCTTCTTTAGGGATGATTTCTGTCAATTTCTTTTTTTCCTATGAATGGGTCATACTTTGCTGTTTTTTGATATGCTTTGTAATTTTTTGTTGTTGGGAACTGGACATTTTGAATACTATAATGGCAATAATTTTGAAAATCAGATTCTCCCTCCTCCTCAGAGACTGCTTTTTTTTTTTTTTAAAGATTTTATTTATTTATTCGACAGAGAGAGACACAGTGAGAGAGGGAATATAAGCAGGGGGAGTGGGTGAGGGAGAAGCAGGCTTCCAGTGGAGCAGGGAGCCTGATGTGGGGCTCGATCCCAGGATCCTGGGATCATGACCTGAGCTGAAGGCAGACACTTAACGACTGAGCCCCCCAGGCACCCCAGAGACTGCTGTTGTTACTAGATGAAAGCTGCCATTGTAAGTTTGTTTAGTGACTTTTCCAAACTTTCTTTGCAAGGATTATATTTCTTGTGGTATATGATCACTAAAGTCTCTGTTCCATTACCCCCATGGTCAGCCAGTAACCAGCCTCTTTCTTCATCACTCATTATTCTGGACGCTCCAGTGTCTGACTACCAGGCTCCAGAGTTCTAAAATAGTTGTTTCAAAGAGTAGTTGTCAGCTCAAGAGTTGTTTGGGTGGCGAGGCCAATTCCTGGAGCTCTCTACTCCACCATCTTTGTGATGTCACTCCCTTCATGTGTTTAATCCTTGTCACAACCTCAAACTGCTGGTCTCTGATGTTCTATAGCAAGACATTTCCTAAAGAAGTATTCTCAATTTACTAAAGTTTGAAGGCTTCTTTAGTTAGGGACATTTTTTCAGCTCACTATATCTACTCTAACCTGAAAACTGACTTTTCTAAAAGAATGAAATAGTCGTTATGTTCAAGGGAGAGATAGCCAGGCCCACAGTTAATAAACCCATTCTCCTTGGCCAATCACTGATTTAGAAGTGGACATGTGACCTAGCTCTAGTCAATAAGACATAAATGGAACTTTCTGAAGACTTCAGAAAATATTTTCTTATCTGATAAAATAGACCTACACCCTTTCCTCCCTGCCTTTGAACATTTTGTGTGAAGTTTTAACACACAGAGAATCCTGTAACCCCAAGAAGAAAGCCAAAAAAATCACAGAGATGCCCACCAGAGCTCCAACATTGTTATACTGCTGAATTTATCAACTTTTGTAACCATCTACTTCTGAATTTCTAGTTATATGAAATAATAAATCCCTTTTATTTAAGCCAGTCTTAGTATTCTGAACCTTACAGATAAAATCATCTCAAGTCATTTAACTTCTAAAGGGAGGGGAAAATGAATTCTTGTCAGTTCCCTTATATCTGAGGATACTGCAGTATACCAGAAATAACTTTGACTCCTACCATTTATCTTAAAAATCCAGGTATATTTTGCAAATGAAGCCATAATATACATACACTTGTTCTAATATATTTTTCCCAAAGAGTGAAGCAAAACAAAACAAAATCACTTCAGACAAAATTTGAGAAAGATGTGGGGAAGGGAAGGAAAGGGATGTCCCTGATGCATCATCTTATAGAATATAATCTCTATTAAATGTCCTCTATTTAATTTAATGGCTTTTTATCTATCCATTCCAAAAGACATTATTTGGACATTAGAAATTTACGTAAAATGGAAGTTTTAAGTAAATCATCTTTCAAATAATCCAAATTTTCCATAAATTAACTATAATCCTTAATGAAAGCCTTCTTAGAATTGTGAAGTCTATCCATAATACAATAAACAAAGCCAGTGGTAGTTATGAGAAAGAATACAAAAATCATCAAGGTAAGGAAGAACACATTAATTTTGTGGTTGATTCTTTAGCCTTACCAGTTCTCTATAGACACCTTCATGTTTCCCCTCAGATTTGGTTGACTTTTCCTTTTGTAAAATTTCTCTATTTCGGTTACCAGCAGAACTCATGTTGAGATTACTTCTAGCACCACCACCACCTCCTCCAAATGTCTTGGTCTTTTGATAAGAGAAAAACAAAAGAGATGTAAATAAATAACATTTAAAAAAGCTCTAAAGACTAATCTACAACTAAAAACACCTAGTAAAACTGAAGCACCTAAAAGCTTTTTGATTATGTTTTACGTGAAAAAAATGAAATGTTAACTAATTCTTTTTAAACAAATATCTACTGGCCATAATCTCTTCTTTCTACAAGTCCCTGTGAAGCAATAAAAAAATTACATTAATTGAAATCTTTAAGTCTTCTAGGCAAGTCATCAGAATAAACCTAAGTAGACAACAATATAGAAGAAAATAAAATAGTACCAGCATCATGGAGATTAGGTGTTAAAATAATTCTAGGGTACAATACTTTAGTGATATCATGAGGCCTGGGTTATACAGCAAGTCTTATCTTTATCAAGGCATTAAACATGTCTAGGAATCGGTTACATTAGGTCTGTGATCCAGTAATATGATTGTATAATCTTTTTCTTTAAGATTTTATTTATTTGAGATGGAGAGTGCATGCGCATGAGTGGGGGGAGGGGCAGAGGGACAAGTAGACTCCCCGCTGAGCAGTGAGCCCAAAGTGGGGCTCAATCCCAGGATCCTGAGATCATGACCCGAGTCAAAGTCAGATGCTTAACGAACCAAGCTCCCCAGGTGGCCCTGACTGTATGATCTTAAAAAGTAAACAAATAATATGAATTTTAACACTGTATTAAAACTTTCATTACTAATTTATTATTTATATTAACTACATAACATGCCATCTTACCAACTATGTATAAAAACTTTAAAGTCCATTATTTCTTATTTTGCCTGACTTATTTGAATAATTATGTTTAATCACATTTGAAAATCTGATTTGATCTCATTTTTATCAAAACTACTGTGAAAAGACTAGAATATAAAGAACATTAGTTTGGAAAGATACAAAATCATGACTGAAAAGCAACCCACTGCTTTACTTGTACAATATCAAATTAAACATTTGGTTACACAATATCTTTATAGTTCTAATAGATCTAATAAAAGAGGAAGAAGTGAACACTTGCTTTTTATTAGTGATAATAATAGTTTTATGCATATTTTAAAATTATGACAGTAAGAAAACATCCTAGATAAAAATTTACATAACATTGGGAAATTATTTTGAATCAGATGAAAATATAAAGAAACAGAACCTGAGAAATAGAAAAATGATATGAGATAAGCATTAACCAGACAACATACTAAATATTGATTAGGCAGTTGATGCACCACTGCATTTAAATTTTATTTAAACCGAAATTAAAACCACATCTTCAAAGACCAAAGGTGTATAACTAGATTCATTAATTTTTTTGTTTTATGCAATTGGAATGTCTTGACAGTCATCACTTATAAAACCATAATGAAAAAATGTGAGCTTATATTATTGTGATAAAAAGTTTATTAGTCTGGGAGACAGTGTAGTATATATAGTTAAGAACACAGTCTTTGGAACTTGAGGAGACTGGGACTAAATCTTAGCTCAGCCCCTTCCTAGCTCCTGCCTTCAGCAAGTTACTTCCACCTACTACAAGACAGGTTTCTTCATTCTTAAAACAGGGATAAGAAAAACCTACCTATTTGGGACACTGTAAGAATTAAATGACATCAACAACAGAAAGTGGTCAATTTAGTAACTGGCACATGGTAAACACTCACAATCCACGGCAACATTAACTGCTTTGCTTAATGTATTAAAACATAGTTACCTGAGAACTCTGGACACTGACATGATCCAAATTAAATATATTTCTGGAATTTAAATTCCATAACCCCAAAAGTACTTTTTCTTTGGGTACTAGTGAAACAGTCCCATCTTCTGGATGCTTTTCTTTATTATTTTCTTTCCATTTTTATGGATTAAACAATAGGACAAATTTTCAGAATTGCTTTTCACTGTTTTATAACAGTTGCCACTCACTAAACATATAAATATTTAGAAACAAAACAACTTAAACATTACCCATAAGGTAAATGGTGTTGTCCTTTAAGAGTGACACCATCTTGTCCATACTGTACAATTTAGGAATCCATGAAATCATCATGACCGTGAAACTCAAGTGGGCCCTTAATGCTCCCTAGCAATCTTACTATATTCCCCTAGCCCATCCACCCTCTCAGTCTTCTAGACCACTACTTTACATAGTCCCCTTGCTCCTCAAACCTCCAACATCTTCTCCTCCATTGTTACTATTGACCTTGCTTACTTCCTCACTGAAAAAACTGAAATAATCATTACGGAACTTGCATAGATTTTCACCACATCAACCCACCCACTGATATCTGCATACTCACTTTCTCTTAGCACTGTATATTTTATCTTACTACCATCCACATGAATGTCTAGAGGAATCTAGAGGAAATGAATTCCCCAACTCTACATTATTTCTCAGACCACATCTTACATGATCTTTCAACAGCTTTTGACAAGTTCAATACCCCTTCCTCCATGATACAATTTCTGCATTCTTTTGTTTTGATCCTATGTTCCTGGTTGTACCTTGGCTGGTTCAACCTCTTTCATACAACCTCTAGTGCTACAGGGTTCATTTGTTACCCCTTTTCTCTTCACTTCAGCACTCATTTGGTGATCTCATTTGGCCTCATGATTTTCAAAAGGCATCTATATATGTCTACAACTTCCAAATGCAGATCTCTTCCAAACCTCACTTTTTCAATTATACTCTTCTGTCTCACCGCCTATGAAGCCACATGGATGACTAACAGGCACACTTCAACATCAGTATGTTCAAAACAGAATACCAAATCTTTATCCTCAAACCCATTCCACCATAGTCTTCTCCAATTCAAAGTAAGCAACTCTAACCTGCCAACTTCTTAGGGCAAAACCCTTGGAATCATTCATGACACCTCTTCTCATGCTCAGTATCTCAGAAGTCGTGATAGCTCTATTTTTAAAATTCCAGAATCTGACCACTTGGCACCATCTATACAGCTGCCATCATCATCCTGGCTACCATTATTTTTCCCTCCCTGGATTACTTTGATAATTTCCTAACTTGTCTGATTCAATTTTCTTCTCTAAAATCTACTCTGAACCTAGCAGCCAGAATTAGCTTTTTAAAGTTGATGTTACTGCTGTGCTGAAAACCGTCTAAAGGCTCTCATTTCTCTCTGAATAAGTTAGTGTTTTTAATATGACTTACAGAGACCTACATAAGCTGACCTCCATTATCACTCTTGACTTTATATTCTACTTCTTGTCCCTTTGTTCTCTCTGCTTCCACTGGCTGCCTTCCTATTCCTTGAACATATACTCCTTCTTTAGAACATTTGCAAAGGCTTTTTCTTCTCATGTAACCATATAGCTAATTCTCTTACTTCCTTCAAGTCTTGGCTCAAATCTCATCATCCTGAGACCTAATCAAATTACTGTATTTAAAACTGAAATCTGCAACTTACTTAGCATATTTATATTAGTGTCCTTACTAGACTGTAAACTACACAAAAATTTAAAAGAATTTTCAATTTCTGACCAACCTATTTTAGTGCACCCCACCCCCAACTGGCACTCCCAACTCCCCAACCTACTCTACTTTTTTTCTTCCTATAGCACTTAACCAACATCTAAACTACCATATAACTTACTTTACTCAGTGCACTAATAGTCTCTCTCTTTTACTAAAATATAAGCTTGATATGGGCAGGGCTCTTTTGCCTATTTTGTTCATTGATTTAACCTAAGCATTTAAAACACACCCTAGGGGGCACCTGGGTGGCTCAGTTGGTTAGGTGTCCAACTCTTGATTTCAGCTCAGGTCATGATCTCAGGGTCATGAGATTGAGCCTTGTGTCGGGTTGGGCATGGAGCTTGCTTAAGATTCTCTCTCTCTCTCCCTCTCTCTTTGCCCCTCCCACTTCTCCACGCTCGCTCGCTCTCTCTCTCAAAAATAAAAAATAAAACCCTTCCTAGTATATAGATTTTCAAATAATATTTGCTGATTAAGGAATAAAGGAAAAAATAAATGAAAATCATGGCTTGATCATGTGCAGTAGATTCCACCAAATCCATGTGTTTAAATGGATGATCATAAAACATCTTTTCAGAACAATTACAGTGTTATATGATTTTGCTATTCAGACATTTAAATATAAATCTGTGTGTGTGTGTACTTACCTATATAGAAAGATATATAGATATAGGGATAATCTACTATAATGCATATAGGTTTAGTGCTAGATTTGCCACTGAGTAACACTAAGCAAGTTCAGTTAGTTTTGAGACATCAGTTCTCATATATAAATTGAGAAGTTTTAAGTTTCTTCAGAAAACTAGGATTCTTGGGGCGCCTGGGTGGCTCAGTCGTTAGTGTCTGCCTTCGGCTCAGGTCATGATCCTGGAGTCCTGGGGTTGAGCCCCACATTGGGCTCCCTGCTCGGTGGGAAACCTGCTTCTCCCTCTCCCACTCCCCCTGCTTGTGTTCCCTCTCTTGCTCTGTCAAATAAATAAATAAAATCTGTCAAATAAATAAATAAAATCTTAAAAAAAAAAGAAAAGAAAACTAGGATTCTTTACTTATCAAGTATTTATGGAAAATATAATGGGATCAATTATAACTTTAAAAAAATGAAGCATATTACAGTATAACTATATTCCAGTAAAGAGCTATAACCATATCAAACAAAATTCTGGGAGGAAAGTTTGTGTGAGAAAAATGTATATCAAAAGAACAACTTTCCTATAATCATTAAGGAATTGATATATACCCAATATACTCTTTTTAAACTCCATAATTTTGATAGCTTTTTGGGAAAGAAGAAATATATTTTATGTGAACTATGCAAAATGCATAAATTTCAGAAGCATTAAAAGTGATTTTTTAAAAAATGTATCTTAGCACATAGGAAATACTAAAGAATAGCAATAGTCACATTTATTGAATGCTTTTAGTGAAGGAAAATTTGATCTGTGCCATGCAGGATTCTAAATATTTTAAAGATTATCGATTTAATTCTCCAGCAACCATATGAAGTGGGTACCATTATTATCCCCTTTTCATAGATGAAGAAAAGTAAGGCACAAAAAACTAAGTAACCTATCCAAGGTTGTCAGCAGTATATGCTTCTGGGCTGTCTGGTTCCAGAGCTTGTGCTCTTGGACCCTACAAGCGACGGATGATAGAAAGACATTGCAGGAAGAACAATTAAAATTCAGTAAGTCTCTTATACTTCAAATTTAAATAGGAAAGCAGTGTTAGCTAAACTTCTAATGAATAAAGGAAAGTATTTCAATCTCACTGATTAAGAAAAGTCTGTCTAAGCAACGAATTCATGAACAAAAATTTCTTATCAAAGTCTAAAATCAATTAAATAACTATAGAAAACACCTATTTCAAATAAGCAAGAAAGTTTAATTAAAAGAAAACCATTTGGCTGTTAGAACATGATGGATTGTGTGTGTGTATATATAAATACATATGACTCAAAGAAAAAAATGATCTTTTACTAAGTAGATTGAAGAATGAAAACTAACAAAAATATTAATCCTTGAACCACGGATTTATCCTCTGATCTTTACCTGCATTCCTCAGAAGTGGCATTTAGCCCAACTAACATAACTAACTCTGCTATAACGCAAAGTGTTGCGTTCAGTTGTTACACTATTAAGAAGAAAAGGAAGAGGGAGAAAAGGGTAGTCTGTTTGCAAGAACTGTCAAGGAGAGGGCATCTGGGTGGGCTCAGTTGGTTAAGCGTCTGCCTTAGGCTCAGGTCATGATCCTGGAGTCCTGGGAGTCCCAGGATCCAGTCCTGCATGCTGCACCGGGCTCTCTTCTCAGAAGGGAGTCAGCTTCTCCCTCTTCCTTCTCAGCTCCCCCCACCCCCAACTCGTGCTCTTTCTTTCTCTCAAATAAAAAAAATAAAAAAATAAAACAATTGTCAAGGAGATTAAGAAAAAGAACATTTGAGGGCGCCTGGGTGGCTCAGTTGGTTAAGTGACTGCCTTCGGCTCAGGTCATGATCCTGGAGTCCCGGGATCGAGTCCCACATCAGGCTCCCTGCTCAGCGGGGAGTCTGCTTCTCCCTCTGACCCTCCCCCCTCTCATGCTCTCTATCTCATTCTCTCTCTCAAATAAATAAATAAAATCTTTAAAAAAAGAAAAAGAACATATGAGCAAAATGTGTAAGCTGAAGACTCCATAAGTTACTGCGGCATTTGTACTGATGAAATATGCAAGAAGAATGTCAAAAAGTTTGTTGAATTAGTTACCTTATATGAAAAGACAATAATGATTATGAGTAACCTAAATAGAACATACTGACAAGAAATAAGAGAAATTTATAATGATTTAGTTTCTTACTTCTTTGCTCTTTGCAACTTCCGCAATAGCAGCAGTTCTTTGCTTTTCAAATTCATCATTATCATTTGTCGGTTTGACAGGCATTGTAACTTGCAATGTCTTTCTTCGGTCAAGTTCTCTACTATCCACTTGGACGTGAGATATGCACTTCTGGTAATAATAAATAAAAATAAAACACTTCAGTATTTCCAAAAGTGATTCAAGTTTTTCATAAGAAAGTAATACCTCAAAAGAAATATTTGTGTCAGTGACAACAACTGAGAGCTCATAAAAATATAATTCTTTCCCACAGATTAAAAAAAAGGTAGAAAATTCATTAAATTAACTTATAAATAAATGTAACTGGTAAATAAAATGTAAAGCTACATAAAAATGTGGCCATCTAAAATAGGGCACATATTTAAAACATACATTGAACCATTCTAGGTTGCATTCTAGGATAATGACTTGAAATAATTCTAAATTTCAAACAGTCTATACTACTGTACAAGAAGAGCTAAGTTCAGTTTTTTATTAAGAGCTTGATTTTTGTATTATGCCAAAATATGCATATGAAGATTATTTTAAGTAGTATGGTTATTTTAAATATGATGAGCTGTCTCTGAACTTATAAACCAAAATCTAAAAACATACCTGTTCTCTCAATCAGGCCACAAAGTTTTTGATTTTTAGTTTCATAAGATAAATTAAGAAAGCTATCACTGCCTAAAAATAAGCCCCAAGTTCTGTTCTCCCTTCCAATCTTGGCAGTAAAAATCCTATAAAATGAACCTTGTCTCAATTTAACAATAAAAAAAGGAAAACATGCTCTCAAACAAATATATTAAACAAATACAGATCTTCAGCAATATAAGTATATCCTGTCGATACCAGAACACACCCAGCGTTATCTATCTTTAATCCATGCACGAGGCTAAGACAAACTAAGAATTTTTCAGAATGGACTTTATAAAAAATAATATTATCAAAACTCTAACTTTTATAATATTTCTTAATTTAAAAAACTAAAAAAAAAACTCTTCATAATCCTGAAAATAATTAGATTATAAGTCTCTCTGAGCAATTCATGAAAGAAATATTATCACCAAAATGTTTAAGAGGAAAGCAAATTCTTGCAAACATGTATTTATTAGATTCAAATACAAATTATTAGACTGTTTATGCTCTGTTTCCATTCTGAAGGTTTATTACATTGGTAGAAGAGAAAATAGCATCAACATGGATCAGACTCTAGGGCATCATGCCACCTTTCATCTTGACCATGCCTGGCGCCAAAGCATGGTAAAAGCGGCATATTTTTAAAGTATTTTCAAAATAGCCATGATGCAAGAATGACTTTAATTTTGAGTTGACTCTACAAAAAGATTTTTGGAAAGCATGCCAGTCAACTGACTGTACCCATTTATCTGCTGACCAGCCAGATGTCTTTTTCACACCAAAAAAACAAAACAAAACAAAACAACTACTATTATGCTATAGCTCTATTTCCCACCTGTTATGGAACTCATATTCACTCTGCACTAGCACTCTACAAGAAAAATAAAGAGCAAGCACAAAGGCAGATTACCAACAGCTGGTGCCATCAAGAAGCAAAGAGAAAGCTGCCACAGGCATTATTCTCAGACTCAGCAGGGATAAAGTAGGGAAAGGCTGCAGGAGACTGTTGTGGATACAATTTGATGCTGAGTACAATAGGGAAGACCCAATATACCTGCCAGCCAAGGCGTTACCTCAATGTAACATTTTGCAGAGGTTGGGTTGAAAAATAGGAAATAGAACACTTTTAGCTTTTATGAGAGAAGGCTCAGGGCTGCTGTGGTTAAAAAAATAAACACCAAATAGAAATGAAATTAAGTTCTCGCCTGAGGTGGGTATTTGGATCAAGGCAGAAGAACAAAATCCAGGAGAGGACAACTGGGACAACAGGCCCTACTGAAGTGCAGTGAGGCCTCTGTGTTCTCACCTTTATGTCTCATCCTTCTGTTGACACTTTCATTTTCTCTCTCCCTCTTGTGTTTCTACTGACAAAGTGGGAAATTACAGCATACATTTGTCTTCTTTCTTTTGAATTTCTCTCTCTCAAAAAAAAAAAGTCCCCCCCATCCTATCTTAATTAGTTCTAAGTTGCTGCTCTTCAGGTGTGCCTTTTAATTCCTTCAATCTGTGGGTTAATAGCTCTTGAGAAAAGAATCTACACCAACAATTTAAAGAAAAAACTCCTCAATTATTAAATTTCTGTATTTAATATATTTCCACATAAGTCCCATGACCTCTAAATGAATAGTTCAGCACAAGACTAAACACAGTTTGAATACAAATGAAAACCAATTTTTGCTGATTAAAATTCATCTGCCAACATGAAAGTCATTACCTGTCCAAAAGGCACAAAAGGAGGTGGTCCACCTTCAGTCCCAATATTACTTCTACTGTGTTTTGACAAGCTCTGTGAGAAAAGTGAGTCACAAAACAGAAATTACACCATTTAAAGTGTACCAGGAATCCACTTACTTTAGTAGATTATACAGAACAGGAAAAAGAGCCTTCTATAAATTATTTCAAACTACATAAAATGTTTTATGTAATTAGGCTAATAATTAGGCAAAGGTTCTTCCCCACCTCCCCATACTAAAGTATACATTCAAATACAATTTTCAAAGTACCTACCAACATGCTCCCATAAAAAGAAAACAGTTAAAAAAAAAAAACACCTCCTCAACAAGGGGTAAATTCAAGACAACAAACATTGGTAACAAGAATTTCACTTTAAAGCATATTAAAACTATAATCTGACAAATATTACCTGAAAATGATCTTCAAAATAAATTTTTAGACATAAAAACTATTAGCAAACAACATACTTGTGATATTGTGATAAAATAAATATTTATTTATTTATTTATAGATGTATGTATATATGTATATATGTGTGTATATATATATGTATGTAAATATATATATATTTGGTCTCGTACCTCAGACTGAGTTAAATATAACTATAATCTGACAAATATTACCTGAAAATGATCTTCAAAATAAATTTTTAGACATAAAAACTATTAGCAAACAACATACTTGTGATATTGTGATAAAATAAATATTTATTTATTTATTTATAGATGTATGTATATATGTATATATGTGTGTATATATATATGTATATAAATATATATATATTTGGTCTCGTACCTCAGACTGAGTTAAATATATATATATTTGGTCACCAATGTCCAGTGGTTTAGTCAATCATGCCTATATAATGAGCCTCCAGTGAAACCCTAAACAAAGAGGTTCAGAGAGTTTCCAGGCTGCTGAACATATCCATGTGCTGGGAAGGTAGAACACACCCAATTCTATAGGGACAGAAGTTCCTGTGCTAGGGACCCTTCTAGATCTTGTATTTCTTCATCTGGCTGTTCATTTGTGTCTTTTATCATATCCGTTACCATAAATCTGTAATAGTAAGTAAAGTGTTTCCCTGAATTCTGTGAGCCATATAGCAAATTATCAAACCTGAGCAGAGGGTCTTGAGAGTCCCCAATTTGTAACCACATTGGACAGAAGTGTGGGCAACCTGGGGACCCACTATTTGCAACTGGCATCTGAAGTGGTGGAGCAGTCTTGTGAGATTGAGTCCTCAGGCTGTGGGGTCTGTACTAACTCTGGGTAGAGTCAGAATTGAATTAAATTTTAAGACATCCACGTGGTGTCTATAGAGAAGCAGAGAATTGTTTGGTGTGAAAAATACACACATTTGGTTTCAAAGTGTTGTGACTAGCAACAGTTCATAGGAATACTTAACGATAAAAGTGATTTCTAATTATTTAAAGAGATCATATTCTAGTTTATGATATGGAGGTTACTTTTAATTACAGTAAAATTCCCTTAATAAAGTCTTGTTTTACAAATCAATTTATACTTTGAAGAAGTAATCAGCCCATTGTTCTTTAATAAAAATAAGCTTCCAAACCCTACTGATTTTAGTTTCCTTTTTTCCCCTCTCATATTTAAGACTAGAAAGATAACAACATATTATAAAAATGGGAAAAAAAAGATCCTCCTAGCAAAACAATTTCTCACATCATAATGTCCTTCAAAAACATCATAAGGAATCTTCTGAAGGACTCCTTTCAGTCATCTAGTCCTATTTGTTTTGTTTTTGAGGTGTTAACATGTCTGTTAAGCACAATACATCTTTTCAACTTTAAAATTTTTTGTGCATCTTTAATAATTATCATTAGAAAATGTTATGTTTAAAATATGCTGTTAAACAGTGGGTGGAAAGAAGTTTTAAAAATCATGTGCATTTTTCAAACATGTTCTAGAGTTCCCAAATTATGTAGAGAATACTCTGCATTTTAGGTAATTTAAATAAAGAATGCTAAGACTAGGGGCGCCTGGGTGGCTCAGTTGGTTAAGCATCCGACTCTTGATTTCAGCAGGTCATGATCTCAGGGTCATGAGATGGAGCGCTGCATAGAGCTCCGCACTCAGTGGGGAGTCTGCTTGAGTTTTTCTCCCTCTGCCCCTCCAACCCCTTCACACTCTCGCTCTCTCTTGAATAAATAAATAAAATCTTTTAAAAAAAAGAATGTTAAGACTAAAGGCAGTAGTACTATTCAGCTGATTAAGCAAAGAGTAATTTAAACCATATAGGAATGTCATATTTCCTTACAAGTTATACTTAAGATTTTAACCTATTTAAAAAAACAGCGAATGCATACAATTATCTAGGATTCCTTTTCTCAGTTTCAGTTTAGATATAAGAATAGGATTATTTAAACACCAATCATTTCAATTTATACTATAACTTCCTCAAAAGCTCACATAAGCTGCTAATAATATCATCTCTCAATACATATCATATAATTTAAAACATAGGATTTAACTTCTCATCCTGATGGATATACAAAAGTCAGACTTCATCTCCCTCTATAAACAAGTAGGAATCTGGACAACATGTAAGAAACAACTGTTTTAAGACACAGGACAATAAGTAGTGCAGGACTATAATCCATGAAAGAAAGAGAAAAAAACAAAACAAAACAGATGAGCTCTGCATTTCTGCTCAGAAACATGATGCAGACAGAGTGCAGGGAGCCAAGTTGAGAAAATGAATTTCACAGTTCAGGCAGGCTGAAGCAACTAGAAGTTATAGGGCAGAGTTTTGTAAAAGAGGGACCTGTAGAGAAAAGAGTCTCCAGAAACCAACATTTGAATTCCCCGAAGTCATTGCTGAGAACCAGAATGAGCAAAAACAACAGCAAGTTTTAGGCTTCCATTTATAATAGCATCAGAAAGAATAAAATACTTGGGGATAAACTTAAGAAACCTATACACTGAAAACTACAAAAAATGCTAAAAGAAATTAAAGATGATACCAATAAATGTAAAGATAACTTGTGGTAATGGATTGAAAGAATTAATATTGTTAAGATGTCAATACTACTCAAAGTGGTCTAGAGATTCAGTGCAATTCCCATCAAAATCCCAAGAAGTTTTTTCTTGCAGATATAGAAAAATTCATCCTACAATTCATATGAAATCTCAAGGGGCCCTGAATAGCCATAACTATCCTAAAAAGGCCTCACACTTTTCAATTATACAACTTACCAAAATTACTATAATCAAAATAGCATGGTACTGGCATAAAGATAGACATATGGAACAAAAGAATAAAGAACCCAGAAATAAACCCTTGCTTGCATATATGGTCAAATGATTTCTGATGAGGGTGGACAAGACCATTCATTGGTGAAAGGAGAGAAATAGTGCTGGGAAAATGGGTATCCACATGCAAAACAATGAAATTGGACCCTTAACTTGTATCATATACAAACATTAATTTAAATTGTATCAAATACCTAAATTCAAATCCATAAAACTCTTAAAAGAAAACACAGAAGCAAAGTTTCAGGACACTGGATTTAGCAATGATTTCTTAGATACAATACCAAAAGCACAGGCAACAAAAGAAAAAATCATGAAATTAAACTTCACCAAAATTAAAAACTTTTGTCCACCAAAGGATACTACTGACAAAGTGAAAAGGCAACCCACAGAATATGAAAAAATATTTGTAAGTTATACAGCTGATAAAGAATTGATATCCAGAAAATATCAAGAACTCATATGACAAAAAACTATAAACAAACCAGCTAAAAAATGGACAAAGGATGTAAACATTTCTCCAAAGATATACAAATGGCCTATGAAAGGCTACTAAATATCACTAAGCATTAGGGAAATGCAAATCAAAACCACAAGGAGATTCCACTTCACACTGATTAAGATGATTATTATAAAAAATAAAATAAAATAAAATAAAATAAAATGGATTGGCAAGGATGTGGAGAAATTAATCTCTTAATGACTGAGCCACCCAGGTGCCCCGAAATTAGATCTCTCGTGCACTGCTGGTGGGAATATAAAATGATGCAATCACTGTTGAAAACAATATGGCAGTTAGTCAAAAGATTAAACATAGAATTACCATATGACCCAGCAATTCCACTTCTGGTGATATGCCCAAAAGAAATGAAAGCAGAAACCTGAACAGATATTTGCACAATCATGTTCATAACAGCATTGTTCATAATTAGTCAAAAAGTAGAAACAACCCTAATGTCCATCAATGGATGAATGAGGAAAATGTTGTGTGTGTGTGTGTGTGTGCGCGTATATACATAGATACATACACACACACACACACATAGGCATAGTGTTCCGCCTTAAAAAGTCAGGCAATTCTGACAAATTCTACAACAGGGATGAACCTTGAAAACATTAAGCTAAGTGAAATAAGCTAGACACTAAAGGACAAATATCATATGATTCCAGTTATATGAAGTACCTAGAGTAGTTGAATTCATAGAGACAAAGTAGAATGGTGACTACCAGAGACTACAGGTGGCTGCAGGGGGGTGCGAAGTTATTTCATGGGTACAGAGTTAAAGTTTTGGAAGACAAAAATTCTAGAGACGGATGGCTGTGATGGTTGGATTAACGATATAAATGTATTTAATGCCACTGAATTTTACACTTAAAATGGTTAAAATGTCAAATTTTATGTTATGTATACATTACCATACATACATACCAAGGAAAAAAACAAACCCAGATCTGTCATGGGAACAGGGTGAGGGACGCGAAAATGTTACAGAAACTATATCACTTTATAAATTACATATGGTTCAGAACTCTCTAGAACTTGTCTTTGTCCAACATACAAAACATTTTGAGGTTTGAGTTTTTCTTCTTTTCGTCACCTATCACCAATTTGTTATAGCTATAAGACCTGCACATGGTTTAAATACTGTCCAATGTCCCCTATTTATTTTACAAAACAGGGTCCTCTTTCAAAATTAACTCTATGGTTTATGGTTTCTATGTGTACACCTGATTTCTATGTGTACCACCTGCTAGATGCTTGTTAAGTAATTGAAA